TTAGTATAACATATGAACTTCGACCAACTTATATATTCTATTCTTTTTCTTTTTCTTTCTTTTAAATTGACATATTTAATTGTAAAAAAAATTGACATATTTATATAAAAAAATTTGTAATATATTTTTTTATTTTTCTAAATTTGACGAAAATGTTTTCTTTTTGCAACACTCACGAAAAAAATGAATAGGAAAAACACGAATGGAAAAAAATGAAAAATAAAAATTACATTAAAAAAAGTGGGGAGGTGTCTATTCGAATTGATTGCAGACAAAGAGATAAGGCGAGGAGGGCTGGCGTAAGCGAATACCACTTGAGCAAGGATATATTTGTTGACCATAAGTAGACATACTTATTCTATAGTATTAAAAGTTACTCTGAACCCAACTTACGTCTACCTATGAATAGACCTGTGTCTCAATCAGTTAAGCTAAAATATATAATGTTTTGAACAAATATAAGAAGGAAAAATAGAATAAAAGGGAATAAGATTTTTAAACATAGACTTAATAAAATTATTAATTTAACATATATGTTCTGTTTTAACATATAGGTTGAGTTGGTTGCTCCACGTGAAGTTGCGAAAAGTGATGAGTGCCCATTGAAATCGTTCAAGTTCTTCAAGACAAAGCAAGTTCCCACCGGATTTTTTGACATCAAAACTGGCTCTGTCAACGTCCGAACACCTTGGTGGTAACATTTCTCACTCACAAAACACCATTTTTATGTCCTAATTAAAAAGGAAAATTTTCACTCTTCTTTTTACTCTTCTGATCTCTGTATTCTATGGAATTGTAGGGATGGAAGTGTTTTGTATGGAAGCAATTCGGAAAAGTTGGGGAAGGTAAGAACTTACAGAGATGGGAAGCTGAAAATCGCCGATGACGGCCTTCTTCTTCACGACCATGACGGCGTTGCCATCTCCGGCGATGTCCGAAACAGCTGGGCCGGTGTTTCAACCTTGCAGGCTCTCTTTATCAAGGAGCACAACGCGGTCTGTGATGCCCTAAAGGTTTGAACACTTAACCCATTTTTCTCGTTTCTTGTTTCTTTGTTTTGTAAGAAGCAAAGTTTGTGTAGAAATTTTTTAAAAAGGGAGAAATAAGGGATAAAGAATAAAGAACATGACCCAACACTTGTGGGTTCTTTCGGTAATATTCCCATTTTATGTGTCTCGTTTTCAATTTTCTTAAAAAATCTATACATTTTGTAACTGACTTTGTTTCTTGTTTTTTCTCTCTTTTGGAACATTCTCACAATTGTATATAGAAATTTTGAAAACAATCAAAACGTTGTTCYCAATTTTCAATTTGTTCCAAAACATAAATGAAAAAATTATTTTGTTATACTTGAATTCATGAATGTTGGAGTCATCCAATTCATTTTTCTTCATTAAAAAAAACAGAAACATTACCAAACAGACTCTATATTTCTCAAAAATTAAAAATAAAACATAAAAAATAATAAATGCRAACCTTATCAAATGAAAAATACTCTTAGTACTTATTGGTGAACACATATTCATAGAAATCTTTATTTTTGCATTTCTCATCACGAAGCTTTTGAGGGGTTATGTTTTTAACAGAAGGAAGATTTAGATATGGAAGACGAAGACTTATATCGAYATGCAAGACTTGTAACTTCTGCTGTGATTGCTAAGGTTCACACCATAGATTGGTCTGCTGAGCTTCTGAAGACTGAAACTCTCCTTGCAGGATCYCGTATCAATTGGTAACCTAAAAAACCCTTTCTTTGATCATTTTTTTAATTTTTCTCCAACCACGTARACGCAAAACTGCTAATCTAAACATAGCTTATTTGGTTAAGGTATATATTATCGACTAGCTAGAATGTTGAAAGTTTGAATTCCCATCATATRTGTTGATGAACTCAAAATCAAACTATCAATTGTCCATGGTATTGTTCCAATCATATATCAAATAATCTCTGAATAAATCATTCAATAAGGCTAGAAAGACGAAGCCGATGATTTTACATTTTTATATGCATAAAATATATTTTTTAAATATGTTTGGAACAACACTTTATTTTTTATGTTWTTTTTTWKTWTTTTTTTGTATTTTTTAAGGTATGGACTTTTGGGAAAGAAATTTAAAGACACATTTGGACACRTTGGAGGATCCTTTCTTGGAGGTKTAGTGGGTTTGAAAAAACCCAATAATCATGGCATCCCCTATTCCCTAACCGAAGAATTTGCAAGTGTTTATCGGATGCACTCTTTTTTGCCGGATAATTTCTATCTAAGAGATGTCACCRTTGATCCTCATCACAATAAATCTCCACCTTTGATCAACAAGTAGTATCTCTCTTTATTATTGTCTACTTTTATCTYTGTATACGTACCAAAATAGATATTTTGAAAGTCTATTAGCTAAAATGGGCAATAAAATCACCCAATASGATTTAATCTAAGAAAGAATCTTTTATTATCCAATTAGTAAGCAAGTAAATAATTTTTTTTTTCGTTCTTTGATAGAGTGCCAATGGGGAATATGATAGGCCATAAAGGAGAGGAGGCCTCAAAGAAAATGGGCTTCACGGCCCTATTAGTTTCAATGGGCCACCAAGCCAGTGGGGCCCTCGAGCTCTGGAATTATCCACTGTGGCTCAGGGATCTCATACCCCATGACGTGGATGGCAAGGATAGGCCCAATCATGTTGACCTTGCAGCTCTCGAAGGTAGTTGACTYAATCACAACCCTTTATTTCCCTTGATCCAATCTAATCTGCACCGTTGATTTGAATCATGATGGGTAAAAATATAATTTTGCAGTTTATAGAGACAGAGAGAGGAAGGTTGCTAGGTACAACGACTTTCGTAGGGGATTATTTCTCATCCCGATCTCCAAGTGGGAAGATCTGACGGATGACGACGAGGCAATCGAAGTGCTTCGTGACGTGTACGGTGAAGATGTGGAGGAGCTTGATATTCTCGTGGGGCTGATGGCAGAGAAGAAAATCAAGGGTTTTCTCATTAGTGAGACAGCTTTTTTCATTTTCTTGCTTATGGCTTCAAGGTATTTTATTAACCCCATATTTACCTATATTTCCTTTCTTTTGGTATTGGGTTTGTTTAGGTTTAAATTCTATTTCCGTTCCTATCAATTTAGTCCACTTTTGCAAAATTTTAACACAAATTTTATACGTAACAAAGTGACAATGATCTCAACTAATCAAAAYTATAAGAAAAAGTACAACAAATAATATGATGATTTTAGTTTCAGTTGCATAACCATTTAAGAAAATATAATGGTTATCATATGTATTGGTTTTGATTTTGGACTAAACATAAAATCCTAAACTGCAGGAGGCTAGAGGCARACAGGTTCTTCACAAGTCATTTTAATGAACAAACRTACACAAAAAAGGGATTGGAACGGGTGAATACAACAGAGAGTTTGAAGGATGTGATAAGAAGGCATTATCCACAGATCTCAAATAAATGGATGAATTCATCAAGTGCTTTCTCTGTTTGGGATTCTTCTCCCAACAAACCCAACCCTATCCCTATTTACCTTAGAATTCCTAGCTAAATTCTTTTTGTTTTATCTTGAAAAATACTTAAATGTTTACTCATCAGCACCTATCTTTTTRCTGGTCACCACTAAATTTTTGACAAGTAGGAAAGAGAAATACTGAAAAACATGTATTCTTCTGTGTTTCAAAAAAACTACAAAACCGTCACATTTTTAATGATGGTCAGTATAAAAATGTGTGATGATCAATAAGTATTTAAGTATTATTTTTTCTTTCACACCCTCCTGATGCATTGTATCGTACTGTACTTCTTCAAGTTTTCTATCATCTATTTGGGTTAGTTTTTATTTGTCATATATTTTTGGAATAAAATGATGGTGTTTCCCTCTAAAGGTTTATGTATGCGAGTTTTTTTGCAAAAGGGCATGTTAGGTTTGTTGTAATACAAGTAAGCTAATAGTGAAATATCGAATTTCTTGTGTTAAYGTTAAAGAAAGGGACATGTTCGAGAGTAATTGTAAAATAAGTGATTTTAGGAAGAAAAATACATAAATACAATTGATTTTGTAAAAGTGATTTAATTACCATTAGTATTTGGTTTGGAGTGATTTTCATATTATTAGGAGTGATATCAATCATTTTAATAAAAATTRCATATTGGAGCATATTTGTAGATGATTTAAGCATACCTAGAATCACTTCCACTAATRTCAAAATTACTATTATTTTAAAATGGCATGTTTTATAATAATTTTCAAGTGACTTTAAAAAAATCCAAAATCACTTTAAGTACGGGTTTACACTTTGGAGGCGATTCAAAAATGATTTTTGGTAAAAAAATTAATAGAAATTTAATTTTTAAAATGGTTATTGTTTTTAATTTCAATTTTATCGGTGTATTTCATCTTACTTTCACCTTAAAATTTGAGACATTTTATTTTTTTCATTTCTAAAAATTTTCTCGATCTCTTTCTTTATTTTTCTTCAATTTTTATTATTCTCTCTAAATTTTTTTTCTCTAAAATTTTTTAATCTGTCTCTAAATTTTTAGTTTCCATTTCTATTYTAAGTTTTTTCTGGGTCTAAGRTCTCTCACTCTAACATTTTTTCTCTCTAAAATTTTTGTTCCTCTCTAACTTTTCTCACTCTAAAATATTTTTAAATTCTCTATTTAAACTTCAAATATGAACCATTCAAAATCACTTTTAATTATATAAATATCACTTGAAAAAATTTGCAACCAAACGTCAAAATAATTGCATAAAAATCACTTTCACTAAATCAATTATCATTAAATATCTTTGGTTCATTCTAGTTCTTATAGTTTGAAAATGTTTATTTTGGTCCCTATACTCTCAACTTTGGTTCATTTTAATAATTGTCCTTTTTTTTTAAACAAAAGAGCTTACCAACAAAAGTACATAAATGGACTTTTTGAGAATATAGAGACCAAAATGAGCCACTGTAAACCATTATTTTATATATCATATGTGTACTWCAATCGTGCTTATATGAATCAATTATGAAACTCATTTGTGATACTTGGTATAATCTCAACTACACAATTCACAAATCAAAATTGGGAAACAATATTATTATAGCATAAAAATGATTTTGTATCCATCTTATGATCTAATAAACTCCTTCCCTGTGTATGTTATGAATCAAAATCAGGGTGTTGTGTGACAAGTGCCATCAAAAAATCATTCCAAGCATCAATGGGGCCTGGCAAGCACCAATGCACACAGTCATTGTAGCCCTTCATCCACTGGTTTCCCCAGAACCCATTCGGGTGCCCGTCGGGTCTCATCATCATCGACATCGTCACGTCGATCATCTCAAATCTCCTCATCCCTTCTCGCCTCGCCATCTTCGTCTCTTCTATCTGAACCTTCCGAACCTTCCAATCGTACCTCTCTAAGTCGATCTCCTTCACGCTCGACGGGCCCGTTCTGTTGCAATACCCACCCGTGTTCCAAACCCCATTCTCGAAGTGGGCGGGCGAGAATGTCCTCAGGATCGTCACCAACTTACCGCACTTCTTGCAGTCGTTGATGTGCTTGAAAGCTGCTCGAATGGCCATTTTCAACGCGAAATCGGGATCGTAGTTTTTTATATTTTTATCGTGGCAATAGATGCAGCCGATCATGTGGCTGCCTTCATGAAGGTACAAGACTCGGAAAAACCAATGCGCGCTCGAGACGATGACGTAGTCCATATTCGGTAGGTGTTTCGCCCAGGCGTCATCCACCTTGTCGAACTTTAGGTCGAAAATGCCGTTTCCGGTTCCGTTCACAACCCTCTCTTCTCCTGTCACCAGGAATTTAGACCACAGCATCATTATGGTTAACTCACTTTTTGGAAAATACCATGTTCTGAACCTATCTTCAATGTCTTTGTAAACATCTTGTGGAGTTTCTTCCTGCAAAATTCGGCCAGCTATATGAAATGAAATTTACATACGGTTCAAGCTAGACAAAAGATCTAGAATCTTCAATAAAATTAATACTCAATTTTAACTTTTAAACTTTCAATTTAATCAAAATTAACTATTTAAATTAATCCTTCTTCAAAACTAAATAATATAATCACCCACAAATTAACCAGTAAAATGCACAAATTTAACCAACAGAACATTGTACTTAACTATGAAGATACACCTAATCCCAATTAGCAAATGAATGGAAAAAAATAAATAAATAAAATAAAAAGAACACTAAAATAATGCTCCTAGCTAACCAAAAATCTTCATATATATATATATATATATATGAAAATTAATTGATGAGATAAATTTCACCATTTGTTTAAAGATTTATATACTCTTTTGGTCTGAGAGTTCTTTTGGCTTTGGTTCTTAGCACTTTCAAAGCTTTCATTTTATTATTGTTTCAAAACATCCATTTTGGTCCCTATACCTTTAAAAGTGACCAATTTGATCCCAATTTACAAATTTTATACATAATGGAAACCATTTAATATAAATTTATGGTTACATTTTAAGTTAGTGAATAAAGTATAATGTTTAAGTATGATTGAAGTCAACCTGAACATAACTTAGTGGGTTAAGGCACCTAATCTGACTAGAAGGTCGTGAGTTCTAATCCCCAACCTCATATGTTATACTAAAAAAAATTATGACGGAAAGAAATGAGATTAAAATGAAAATAAATTAACTAAAATGGTCACTTTTTAAAGTATAGAACAACATGGATATTTCGAAATTACAATAACCAAAATGAACCAAAACTAAAACTACACGACGAAAATGATGCGTAATTCTTTTTAAATTAAGGTTTAATATGATAAAATTAAAAGTTGGAATTAGTTTGAAATTACTAATAATGGGTAAGAAAAATAAATTTAAAACTTAAATTCAATTTTTTTCAATACAAAATACGGTGCTATTTATGCAGGGCAATTAAGTCATTTCACTAGTAGACAACCGTTTAAAGTTAGTTGGAGACAAAAAATCTAGCAACATTGACCATGGATTGCTTTTAATATTCTTTTAATAATTAATTATTTCTTAATCAATCTTTAAAGAATAGAATGCACTATCTTGGGGCTGGACCCAAATATTCCTTTTACACCCCTCTCTTTTATGACTTCTTCAAAAGAAAATTCTCATAATTATATTTCCCTAGTTAATTATTATTATTATTATTATTATTTATATTCTTGTCCTTTTTTAAATGCTTTATTCAATTAAATTTTAGAAAGAAAAACTATTGATTGTATAATAGTTGGTTGGCATTAAACGCCCAAATCCTTGACTGAGGACACTTCAGTCAATTCCCTGAAATTAAGGAATCGTTTACTTTTTGTATGTATTGAATTTCTTGTTCTTCTCAATTTAATTTTTAACCCTAAATATACATTTCAAATAAAATTTTACAATATTTCTCTTTCATCCCTTAAGTTTGAGTTTAATTTTCATTTAACCCTTAGATTTGAAAATATTACAATTTTATCCTTAAATTTTGGTAGTTTTCATTTTCACCAAGTTTTTAGAGTTTAGTTTCTATTTGGTCCCTAGATTTCAAAATATTACACTTTGCTTTTGAGTTTTGAATTTAGTTTTCATTTGATCTATGGACTTTTATCTTATAATTTATTTTTATTTACTTTTTTACTTTTTTTTAAATACAGCATCACAAATGTATTGAATATAACATTACCTATAAATAAATTTGACACAATAATTACTTGTGGCAACTGATTTAATTATTCATATATATTGTTTAGGTAAGTTTAACTATTTATAAATGACACACCTTAATGATTATCGGAATCATATTCAATGAATTAGTTGATAATGCTGTAATAATTATTGAATCATATCAATTAGAAAAAAAAATATTAAAAAATTAAAGTAAGAAAAAACTCATTTTTGGTCTTTAAAAAAAAAGAGAAAAAAGGTCATTTTGGAAAATGAATATTTTTACAGTTTATTGCCAAATTTGTAACCCTGAATCAAGGGAATTAGTACAAAAGAGAAAAAAAATCCAGCGAATCGCAAGTGGGAATTTGCTTAAATCCAACCCTTAATTTTGGAAAGTCATAATATTCAATAATAAAAAAAATCATTTCCAAATAACAAAAATGACAACAAAATATGACCTTACTCTTCTTGAAATTTTTTAGTTTTGTTTGGTAATTTTTTTTCCATTTTTTCTTGTTTCTAGTTTTTAAAAAATATATTTATTTGGCAATTTGTCGATTACCATCTTTAAGAAATGATCCAAAATTATACACGAAATTTTGAGAACAATTTTGAAATTAAATAATATAATAATAATATCTCCATTTTTCCTCTTTTTAATTTTATTTTATTTCGAAATTTTCCAAAACATAATTATATGTGATGTTTGTTTAACAAATTTTAAAAATTTAAATAAAATAAAATAATTTGAATATTTATTTTCAAGTAATTTTAAATTCAAAAATTAAGAAACAAGAAACAAAAAAGGATTATAAAATGTATTTGTATTGTTTTTCCATTAAAAAAAAAACTATAAAAAAAAACTTTATCCATTATCATACTTTTTAAGTTTAAATACTATCTTTAATTTTTAGGTTTTTGCTTATTTTGGTATCTAAGCTGGTCAGGTTGCTGCTAGGCTCATGTCAATTTGGTCTCTATATTTCAACCTCTTCTAGTCCTTATATTTTGATGTATAAAATTTATGTTAAAACTTTGTAAACAAAGATTAAAATGGTCGCTTTTAAAGTTACAAAACCAAAACCGACATTTTCCAGAGGAACCAAAGGCAAGCCAAAAAGATTGATAAAAAGTAAAATGGTGAGCCCACAAGTCATCCATGGAGGGGGAATTTCCCAAATAATGACAATTCCCAGAAGCCACAAGGCCAACCAAAAGCAATTCCCCATCATTATTCCATTCCTTGAAAACCAACCCCCAAAATGCAATCAACACCAAATAATCAAAATCATCAAAAAAGAGACACCCAGTTGTGTTTGAACAAGAAATTTTGCAATGCATAATTATTTGAATCTAAGAGATAGAGAGAGAGAGAGATGGGAACCTGTGATAAGAGGCAGAGGAGAGAGTCCATATGGTTTCTGGCAACAGAATCGCCAATGAATGCGAGTTTCTTGCCACGGAGAAGATTATGAAAGGCGACGGGATCGAAGCGTGGAAGATCGCAATCCTGCGGCTTCCATCTCCAATCGAGGAACCCGGTGTCCTTCCGGCCATGCCTGAAGCAGTTCTTGGAGTCCGGGATGGAGGAGCAGCTCCAATTGGTGTACATCCGGGGCCCCCTCGGCTCCGAGACCCAATGCCCTTTGAACAAATCGCAACTCAATCTCTGTTCGGACTGCTGCGGCTGCGGATGGACGAGGGGGGGCGGATCATGGACGGATTGGAGCCCGACGAGGCCGGGGCGGAGAACCAGAAATGGGTTCGGAGGGCGGAGGGAGGAGAAGAAGAAGAAGAAGAAGCTGACAATGGCGGTGGTGGCTAGCAATGGCCATAGCAGAGGTCGCTGCCCATGGTGATGGGATTTCATGGCGGGAGGGAGAGGGAGAGAGAGAGAGAGAGAGRGGGGCTTTTAAGAATGCTTGCTTTTGAGAGAGATCCTGCTAACAACTTCTTCCTTCTGGGCCACGATTTGATGGCGTTTCAGTGAATATTTTCCTTTCATTTCACTTTTGTCTTTGGAATTTGAAGAACAGAGGAAGACACAGCGCAGAGCCGCGGATGTGGTCGAATCACCCACTAACTGATTACGCCACGTCCCAACACCCTAACGAATTGCATGTGATTTTGTGGGCCATAACTCCAATCAACATTACCCTCATTTCTCGCCAACATTACTCATACCATTTTTACATATTCCTCTTCTCGGGGGCATTATAGCCATTTCGTTACATTTATTGTCTATCATTTAAAAAGAACGCCCAAAAATATTTTAAAAGTCCTTCTATATTAAATAATCCGAATAACATAAAATTAAAATATATAACTTTTATGGTGAGTAAAAAAAATATAATTTAAAAATTATTAAATTTAGGTTGGTTTGATTTAGCCCAAATGGATCCTTAAACCAACCAACTTGACTCATAAAATTTTCATTTATTTGAACCAAATTTAAACCAAACAAGTTTATAACCCAATTTGAATCAAATTAGGCTGATCCATTTTTTCGGGTAATCGAATTTTTTTTAATACCCGTATACTCTCTGGTAATGAACTAATGATATCTTAACCGTTGAAAGTAGACATTTTTCACCATCAGAACCACTGTGAACAAAAAACCTGTCTCCTAACCAATAATGTTTGTAAGAAAGCAAGAAGTAAAAAACTCCCGAAGACAAGTTACTGGTAGAGAGACAAGTTTATATTCAACGGATCAGAAAAATTAGAAGTAATACATGGCAATGCCATATACGCAGCACTTTCTTTCATTGTATTCAGCCATTTCTTACTTGAAACCAACCAATGGAATATTATCATATTAATTGCCAAGATCCAGTATGACATTTTTAGAGTCTCTAAAGAGACGTATTCCTTTTTCATGTTGAGTTTCACATCATCTACAGAGAGAGAGAGAGAGAGAATATTTATAAACCTTGGAATGTCATTGACAAGTAAAAATGAAGATTAGCAAATGTACAAAATTCAGACAGTGAAGTGTTTTGTAAATATCTGAAGCTGTCTTCTTCTGGTAGGGGCCTGTTCTTCACAAAAGACAACTAGTTTATAACCGATGAATTTTGATTGCTCCAGATAAAACACCAAATAAAATGATGGCTCCAAGTTGGGGGGGTCCTGTTTCCGATTTGTAAAGGTGGAATGGGAAAACTGGGAGTGAGAAAAACAGTTCACGACCATGGGAGAAAGGGCCTGTGTATTACTATCAATTAAGAGAAGAAAAAAGAGAGTAAAAGGAATCTAACAGTAAGAATGAAGTAATAGCTACATATGTAAGGGAAAACACAGCTGAGTATCATTGACAAAGGCCGGCCACAACCTCTAAAAGGTCCTTACATCCAGTTCTGTTCTGAAGGTGAAGGGGAGGACTGAGAAAGGAACGGGCTCGGGAGCGTACCTGGATGGATGGGAATCGTCCACATATCGGACGCTATTCATCAAGTTTCTAGACACCACTTTCCTTGTGCTTCTATTAAGTTAGATATTTACAAATGAAAACCTTGTCTGCCGAGCAAAACAAATCCGTCGAAATGTGTGCAGCAGAAAAAGCAGCTGCCTGAAAAACCAGTGGTGCTGCTGCAACATTTGAGAGGGAACACGAGCCCCATCTTTAAGCAGTCCTTCATTATTTGCTCGACTAATGCTGTATACTCTGTTCTTTCTCTCTGTCTGTAATTCTTTGGCCTACCAAAAGAGCCAGAAAACGGTCAATATTAGAAAAAAGGAGAAAGAAAACACGAATACAAGAAATAATAACAACAAAAAAAATTACAAAATTGGAAAAGAAAAGCAGTGACAAGAACACAGAATGAACCATCATACAAAACAAACACCCACATGCCTCTATGGGTTGCATTCGAAATAGGCACAGCATTAGGTCCTCAATTGAATTTTCCATAACAGAAGCAAAAATCACTTCAAATGGAGTGGACTTGGGCAAGTACTTGCTTTTGAAACTTGCAAAGGAAGCTTAAAAATGCTAAGTTTATGTTAACGCAAGCTAAAATCCCAACATACTCTTTTAATGTCTCACGATTATTAAATACCTCAGAAAAGCCAGACTACCAGTCCGATCACTCAGCTGTTTTTAATTCTTTGTTTTCAAAAATAAGTTTGAGGTTCCAAAAATTAGGAAACCAGAGAAAATAGTGACTAAGAAAACCAAATATCATAATTACAAACAAACAAACAAACAAACAAACAAAAACCTCCAGATTGTCAGGCAGAAAATAAAATAAATATATATATATAAATAAAACAGAACAGCAAGCTAACGGTTCCTGCACAAATGGCACAGGGAACATTTCAAACCCAAGCACAAAAATTTAAGAATTAGCATTCCTACATTGGAGCTTTAAGTCATCCTAGAAAGAAAAGAAAGAAAAGGGAAAACAAATTTAATGGGAGAAACAAATTCATAAGAGACCTAAAGAATGTACCAAATATTCAGTATAATACATTCAGTGTTATAATATTCAGCGTAATAACTTCAGTATAATCAGATCATCTTTTGACAATTCGGCAGAATGGGTGTGGAAGAGGAAGAGTAAGGTTACCAAGACTTACTTGTGACCAGAAATGCTACTGCCCTCACTCATTGTTGCTTGTAGTTAAGCCTATCGGCAGCATCTAAGCCACTGTCAGGTTCTTTTCTCTTGTGTATACCACCTATCTGAAACATCTTGAGCTGCTCATCGGCAAAAGGTTGCAAATTGGGAACTGAAAGTTGTCTCAATGCTAAAGGCAACTTTTCATCAATTCTTTCTTTATCCATAATCCCATGACCTGCATTAAGATCCAGACCTTGACTTCCCCATTTTCCAATCTCAGGACCAACAGTACCACTGCTGCTTGGGTAGCTCATAATGAAGGGCCTTGGATAGGGGGTAGGGACTACCCCAGCTGGTCCTAATAAATGAGAAGTAATGGTAGGGAATCCAAGCGAACAACCAGAGGATGAATCCATGTAAGATGTTGAACCTGAAAAAGTGTTTGACTGTAGAGGAAAACTAGTTTCAAAAGGAAACCCAGAATAACTAAAGGAGTTAGCAGGTGGAAATGCCAAAGCAGGAGAGGAAGAAAGCACCGGTGCACGATAAAGTTCAGCAGCAAACCCAGTGCCCGTGGGAGGAGCAAATACTCTCTGAGAAACAGCAGCAGGAACATAATTTTGTTCTCCTCTACCTGGCAAAACTGATGGGATTGCTGTTATTGCTGAATACGAATTTCCCTGAGGAAACCAAGAATAGAAGTTCCCAATTTCTCCTGAGTTCACCTTCATTCCAGGTAGAAGTGATGAAAATGGCATGTAGCTTTTATTCTGCCGAATGAGAGGTACTGTTTCAGGCCCCAATTCTTCAAGGGATGGTCCGTTGTTCAAATCAAAATTTCTGGAGACACTGAATCCACAATTGGCTAATCCACCAGAAACAAATGGCCTACTTGACATGGGAAGTTCCAACCTACTCTTGCTCACAGAACATGGGCCCATATCATGACTTTCGTCAACTTTGTTCAAATCAAGATCAAGTCCACCACCACGATCACAAGATTCAAGACTTGCGATCCGTGGTACATTTGACAAAGTAGCTTCTTCTAGGAGTCTCTGGTCTGGCACATTCAGGTCGAAGTCCAGAGGTGGGCGTCCCTCTTTGCTACTGGTGGTAACGAGAGGCACATCACTCAAACTGAGTGGCATTTCCAGATTTTTTCGAGGTTCTGCCCGGCGAAAAGCACTTGTAGCAGCTGAACCCTTCCATCCAAGCTCAGCCTTGTTTGCTAGGGAGTTCTCTGGTGGAACAACTGATCCTTTTGCAGCAGAAGCCACAGTAATTGCAATAGGGAAACTTTCTGATGCCGAAGGAATGGAAAGAGGTGGCAGAATGGGCAGCTGAACAGCAGATGAACTTCCAATAATATCCTCTTGTATCCCATCATCGACAGAACAACCTTCATTTAAATCAAAGTCCAGCTTTACTACTGTATCTGACCTAGGAGCAGAAAGTGAAGGATTTGAACAAGTGACATGGTCTTTGATTCCAATTAAATCGGGAACACTTAACTGACAACCACTCAATTTCTCACCCTGATCATTTTCTGGTAAGGATATCGAGGGAGATTCCACATGCATTGAAGTCCTACCACAACAATTATCAATATCATCTTTTCTTCCCAAATCCTGCACTGCAGAATCCTCTTTTTGATCTGACCGAGGAAAACCCTGAATCAGTGTTTGCTTCCCAATGTGATTAACATAAATTTCTGAGTTCACAATATTTAATTTTTTATCCTTGGATTCTGCATCCGAAGGATTGGCATCAGGATGAACAACAGCAGTCTCAATCTTTTGCTCCTGAGAGTCTGCATGAATCTCAGGTGTAGACGGCAGTTTCTCCTCCACTCCACTGCCACTAGTTGAATCCCCATGAGTCTGAACATCAATGCCACTCAATTGTGAAGACAAACAAGATGTCTTTTCATCCACTTGCTTTTCCACTTCAAGAGCTGTGGCAGTTACTTCTGATTTCAAAACCATTCCATTCTCTGTCAGTCTATCATCAGTTTGATCCACTTTTTCATTTTCATGGAGTTGGGCACCCTCTTCCAATAATGAGTCGGGTAAACTACTACTTTCCACTTTAAGGAACCTCGATTTCCCTAGTTCATTTTGATCAGAAAGCTGGTTTGTTTTGGTCTCTGTATTATCTTCTTCTGCACCATATGAAGAACAGACAGCTACAGAGGCGTTGCATGCTTCAGCATCAGGTTTCATATAAGACTTCGAAGGTGTCCTCTCCATGTTTTGCTGCGAATTTGACGGCATAATACAGTCCCTTGAACAGCCAAATGAACCACCTCTTCCGTCTCTAGAAGAGTCAGCTGAGGTATAAGAGGCAGGATGAGATCCATTTCTATCCTGCAACATATTATTGCCGTCAAGAGGCTCAGAGGATATGCAACCCTTAGCCCCACAATTAGCATCAGCTTCATCACATTTAGTCTTAACTACTCCTTCAGGTAAAATTTTCAGTTGTCCATCATTACCGGCAGATGATTCTTCTGCCAAAGGTGATCGTTCCTGAGGAGAATCCAATGGTGACACATTGTTAGATTTAGATATTTCCCCAGTAGCCACACTAGCAAGAAGATTCATCCCTACAACATCCCCGGGAGGAGATGATGTATTAGTCTCAGAAAATTTAACACAACTTTCAATCAAAGCATTTATAGAGCTTAAAGAAGCTGCATAAGTTTTTCCAGGCCTAGATACAAGTCCAGTCAACGAAGCAGTAGTTTCTGATTGCTCCAGCAATTCATTGGCTTCAGCGAGCCTGGATTTCTCGTTGCTGACACCTATCTCTTTACCTTCCTCAGAGCTGAGAAATTCATCTTTCTTATGGCAATGGTCTGAGTTTGCTTCAGTTGCCAAACTAGCCCCAAGCAAATCACCTCTGCCTTTTGCTTTCTTATCATGGTTATCACACGCCTCATCAGGAAGGGATCCTTTGTGACCTGAAACAACATGATCTTCAGTGACAACCCTAGTAGCTCCCTTAGGACTCCTGCACGTGTTTGGTATCTTTACAACAAGTCGACTATAACCATGATCAGCAAGAGAAACATCTGGAGATTTCTCATGTGATGCCATGGAGGACTTTTCAGCAGTCAAGCTCTTATTTACGGCATTAAGTTTTCCAGACCCAGATACCTTCTGTGTTCCCATGTGAGTATTCAAATGAATACCATTGCTTGATTTCCGATGGCGAGAAGCACCACTAGAAACTTTGCTAACACTTCCTGAACCAGAATTTGAGCTCCTAGTATCTTCTTTACATGAGGATGCCACAGTTTTTGCATGATCACTGGACTGACTGTTGTTCTGGGACTGACTTGAACTGCTGCTCCTTTCCTCCTTTATTGGAGTCAAGGGAAGGTCTGAGTTTCCAACAACTAGTGTCTTAAAGTTATAATCCTTGGATGATGCACCCATGGTTGAAGAAGACTTCATGCTGCTAGAGGATGCAGATGATTTGACAACCATTTCAGTAGGAACAAACTTAGGTTGAGAATGTTTAAACATGGTAGGATGTGTAGAGCTCTTCACGCCATCATCACCAGAACCCCCAGCCTTTCTGCTCCCTACTTGAGAAAGTTCCAAAGGCACAGATTTAGAAGGCCATGAAACACCACGACTGGATTCAGACTTTGCATCATTAACATCCATCTCAGCTTCCACACGTTTCTTCCAAGTATCTACCAAACTCCTTGCTTTCTTCTGAATTTCAGAATTCTTATGTGTTCGTAAATGATTAACAGACTTGCCCACGTTACAAGTCTGAAGAGCATTAAGATTCACAGGAAGTTTATCCAGAGCACGAAGTAGAGCGAAAAGAAAATCTTCAACAGTTTTATCACTTCCTTTCATGCCATTGCCATCACCAATTTTACCCTTATGAACTTCTTGAAGCCATTCATCTAATACAGGCAAACCCCTGAGCTGCAAAAACCATCCTAGACAATCAAACCTATCAGTGACTGCTATAACATCAGCAAGCATCATTCGGTCAGCCAATTCTATTTTCTTACCAGAACCGTCAGGTTGCATAAGTTTGACAAATTTTTCAACCCCCTCAAAGTCAATAAGCCCTCCTTTATCAGTAATCTTTGCAATCTCATTCTTTAGCGTACTTTCAGATCTAATCTGACCGAATTCCCCATCTTCTGCTTTAAACAACCGCTCTCTCTTAGTGGGTTCAGACCCCTGATCACCCCGTTCTCTTTTCTTGCTTTTAACGAGTGAAGTGAGAAAGGGACTATTTGGTACACTTTCTGAACCAGATTTTGACTGCACAGCTGATATTGAACCATTCAAGGGCTTTGGTGAACGGCCTCCAGACTGCACCACCCCATGCATTTCTAGCCTTGTCTTTTCTATTAGTTGATCTACTTCTTCTTGTCGTTCCTGCAGTTAAAATTTGATTGAGTTGGTGGGTGTGTTGCTAGAAAATCCATCAAAAGAATGGAAAGAAGGTTCTCAATAGCTGTGAGATTAAAGAGGAGACTCTAGATACTCACATTAATATAATCTCTATCAGTTAACCACCATAAACACTTGTTATCAGTATCATACACTCTTCTGCACACAAATGAGGAGATGCCCGATGGAAGTTCAACACCTTTGCGAAGGAATGCAACTTTACAAGGATGGAGCAATGACGCTGCAGGTATCTCATCTTTATGAAATGAGTAAAAGATCTCATTCGGCGCAGCATCTAATGATATTCCTTTTGGGAGCTTCACATCAGCAGGCCGGTAAAGCCAATTCACATCTAACTTTAAATTAGTCTCCTTGTCCGATTTCAATGAACGTATAATTCCAATAAAAGGTGGAGAATCTAGTGGTGGCTTGAAAAGGGCACAATCACCAACATGGATTTTGCGTCCATCCTGCGATGATTAAAACCTTTTTTAAAAACATGGTATAAAAGAAGTATAATAAATAAAATATGTTGCA